CACACACACGACACACGCACTCATTCGCACACACCCCCACCGCCCCCGCGCACTCCCGCGCGATTTCTAGGAACCGTCCCCAGACGGACAGCCCCGCACCTCCCCGCTGCCTCCTGCCCCCCCACCATCCGAGAGGGGCAGTATCAAGCACAAAACACATGTGTCCCGGCGAGGGGAAGCTGGCTGATGTGGGGGTATTTTCCAGTTGTTTTTTTTTTCACTCTTCGGCCACATTTTTTCAAGGGATTTTTGGAAGTGAGAAAGATCCAAAAGGATCTTGCAGTCCTGACCCGTGCCAAAACACAACTTTCTTTTTTTTTGCTAAGCAATGCCGTGCCCACGTCTCGCGAAGAGGCGTGTGTGGACGAGACCTTGAGTGTACCCCACTTTGCCTCGCTGCAGCTACCCCAGACAGCTAATTCTGTTTGGGTCCCCAGATGTAAACACATGCACAATCACAGATGCACACATCGAGCATTTTTTTAATAGCAGTTTCATAGAGAGGTATTATGATCGCATATATCTAAAAGGTAATTAATTTGATTTATTATACTTGAAAAATCCTGTCTGCAGTACCGGCGTCATCTGGAAACTTCATGCTATTTTATACTATCGTTCTGAAGCCGAAATAAATGTTACGAATTGATGACAGCTTCCAGCTGCATGATAAAAATAGCCCCTTCACTTCACAGGATCGTGTTTCATGTTATCGAAGATGAACCAAATCTGACCCATAGATGTTCGCAGCAGGAAAAAAAATTGATACAAAATAAAAAGCTTGGCCATTTTTAATAAACAATGCACCCTAAAACACGGCATCTTTGCAGTGAAACGGAACCACCTTCTTCCGTTCAGCAAGTTCCAGAAATCAGTCCTGCCCCTCGTTCAAAATAGGAATCTCAATTATTAATCTTTCTGGAAATTACACCCATTTTGTTACAACCGCGATCCATTGTACGGAAACATTCTCATTAAATAATAGAGGCCTTCTGTGAGCCTTCGAAAATATACTTCTACGTAAACACACGAATACGTGTCTCTCTAGAAACACTGCTCCTTCTTTATATACAAATGTAGACACAGAGAAAGGTGTATATGTACAGATGCGGACATATTAGTAATAAAACCAGCAACGCGAACGGTGATTCCGGTGAGCTCGTGCACATCTGCAGCAGTGACTGCGTGTCCTGTGAGTTATATCCTCAGCACAGGTAGTGCCGGTGCCCTCCACGAGACCCCCGGTGCCCGCGGAGCCGTGCGGGACGGGGGCGGAGGGGCTGCACCGCAGGCCGGGCTGCGCGGTCGTACCGGGCCCCGGCCGGGCCTCTCAGCCTTCTCCGGCCTCTTCCCGGCAGCAAACCCCCGCTCAGCAGGGAATCGCCACCTTTTGAGGAAAACGTGCTGATTTGCCTCGGAAACGCCGCGTTGAGCCGCGGGGACCAACCCTGCGTTTCGAGGTGCCCGGCTCGCTCGTGTGCGCGGGGCGGCGGGCGCGTTCCCCGCACGGAGAGGCACACCCGTGTGCGGGCTCGTGTGAACGGGGTGCGTCTGTGTGCAAATGCATATGTAAACTTCATAATGGTGATGTACAGTGTGCCTGGTACCTGTACAGCCTCCTTTGTGGGCTTATCGCTCACGAATTCCTCTCTCCGTCTGATCTGCAACGGCAAAATGCAAACTGGTTCTTTTAGCGTTAGGTCACTTGAAATACCCTGCCCTTTCCAGAGGGGATCTCCTTCCCCGTCCTGCCTGCTGGAAGTGGGCTTTGCAGCGGGGCTCTGGCTCCTCGCCGGCCGCGCCGGGGCTCCTGCGGCCCCGGGTGTGCTGCGGGGCTCCCTGCGGGCCCGCTGGCCCCGCTCGCCGCTCGCTCCCTTTAAAAGTTGCTGCAAGAGGAGCAGGCGCTCCGGACATAGGAAAACTTACAAAGTCTGAGCCGTTCACCAGCGTGACCAGAAAAGCAGCAAATAAAAATGCCGACGTTCCGTACATCAGTCCAGTAGCTGCTGCTTCCTCGCGGCTGAAACAAGGGCAATAACCAGGCGAGGCCAGCGCGGAGCGGGTGTCTCTCTTTCAAACAGTGTCTGCTCTAAAGAAGCTAACTTTGGCTTATGAATGGCGGACTCGCCTTGTAATAAATTCAAGCGATCACTCACAAGCCATTAGAGCGACCTGAAAGGCGAGTCTTTCGCAGGGGAAATAGAAGCACCCGATTATTGTTTTGCGTTTAACTTTCTGCGTGCAAACGGTACAAGCACGGCCGGGGGTTGCCACCCGAGAGGGGCCAGCACACAGAGCTCTCCACACACCCACCCGAACAGCCTCCTGCACCCTCCCGAGAGTACTGCCGTCCTGCCTTGGGTAGGTACAAACACTCTTCCGCGGCGACGGGAGCCTCCGCGGGCGCGGGAGACTGCGGGAGGCAGACAACAAACCCAAGCGATTTGGTTGCCCCGGACCAGGCAGCGCGGGGCTGCCGGCATGGCCTGCCATGGGCTGCGAAACCTCATGACCCACGCAGGGAAAGTATCCCGACAGCATCTCCAGAGTCAGACAGCAGAAAGAAAATTATGGCCCCCGTTGGAGCTGGAGAGCTGGGATCGGTGTTTCTCCCCGCAAGCCTTCGTGAATAAATCCGCAAAGGACGCCTTGCTAGAGGAAAGTTGACTTTAGGGACTGAAACAGCGCAGAAACCGCCGAGAGACGCCTCACAACCTCTCTGCCTGAAAAACCACCTCTCTCTCAGCCGGAGATTTCAAAGCACTGCTCCCCTCTCCAGACCCAAGCGAACAGAACAAGCACCAGAATGGCGTGGACTTGAATTCAGCATTAACAATTCCAGTCCTAGTGATCGTCGCTAATTCAGAACATACACGGGATGGCGATCAACCAGTATCGCACCGTTCCACTTCACCACAGATAAAAAGCCAACAGCAGCAGCAGCAACAACACTAGAACCATTCTTTCTGCTGTAGGACGCTCGAACAAACCTCAGACCGAAAGTTTAAAAGAATACTCATTAACCAAGTGTTCCAATACACACAAGTAACAGATCTGTGTTAAGCGACCACTAGGGACTTTACACAAGTTCAAAGAAACTTGCAAAATGCATCTTTAAAATATCTCATCCTCACCACGTTTCTCCGGGTTTATTTTACAGATGTATGGCTCAGAATAGCTCTGCGATATTTCCTTTTTTCTTAGTTACATTCAGGTTATATTTTTTAAAACTGATGCCTGGTCAAGTCGACGGGACAGTTACCCTGAAAGACTCGCAGGGAGCAACATTTTCGGCGCATGAAACATTTTTTCCCCTGGCTCTTTTGACGATGGGTTAAATTTCCTCAAGTCCCAACACTTTCCGCCCAAGTCCCACCGGGCTTCAACTTTTCCTATCTCGCCAAACCCTGCAAGGTGGCGCTCTTTTCATTGAAAACTGATATTAGCCTTATAATAATAACATTTTGTAGAAAGTAAAGTTAAAGCGAAGCCTTCCCACGGGTGCTGCAGGGAGCAGGCGGGGATGCTGAGCTGGCAGGAGCGGGGTTTCGGATGAGCAAGGCAAACTCTTTTTTTTTTTTCGGGGGAGGGGGGGAAGCGGTGTGTTTTGGGGCAGTGAAATGTCTCCGAGGGAGATCCTCAAATGTTACGGACAAAGAAAAATAATTGCGGGGTGCTGTTGAGAGATAGCGGGCTGTGCTCTGGGCGGGTTACCGCCGGGGCTGCGGAGTGTCCGCACGGATGTGAGGGGAAAGCGGCTTCCCCCGTACCCCCGCCCCCCGAGCGGTTAATATGGCTATTGACTCGCTGTACACATAATATTTCTTTAAAGAAGCTGTTAAAGTGTCATCTTGGTCTACTGGAAGGTCAGTTTGTGCAATTCACTCTATGACATATCACAAGCCCTCGCAGCTTTAGCCAACCTCATGATTTGTGTTGTCTGTTGATATGTTGTCTGCTTAATGGGGCGATCATGCAAGCTACAACCAGGAACAAAGCCCAACAGTTCCAACAACCGTAGCTAAGTTAGTGGAAGCAGTACAGCTTGCAAATCTATCAAACTAAACTGCAAGGAAGACAATCTGATTTAGAGAAAAGGCGTTCTGCTACAGTCATTAAGCACAAGTAATTTAGATTTTTTATATTGTCTTCTCATTTACAAATTTACTGTATCAACGCCAGCCAATGGAACGAATTTCTTAAGTAAATGAGAAATAAATAAAAGAGATAGAAAGATAATCAAATTACATAAAATAATTCTTATGCCCTAGATTTATTTTTTTTAGAAAGCTATTAACACTGGCAAAATTATAGTAATAATAATAACATAACATAAGAAGTAATTGATTTAAATTAACATCACGTTTTAAGGAATATCAGCAAAGAAAAAAAAAAGGGGGGGGAAGGAAAAAAAGAAACAAAACCCAAATAAAAAATACACACAACAACAACAACCGCCTTCGTGAAACAGTGCTGTACTTCTTGGAGTAAAAGGCCCAAGGAAAGTCATGAATCCACTGCCTAAGAATTAGTTATGGTCATAAATGCCTTAAATTAAAATAGCAACTGAAATCTCCTCTGTTTTAAATCTCCTAATATATGTTATCCGAATTAATTTAATTTAGGGACCCAGTCTATGCAGATTCATGGACAATGTTGGAGTGGAATGCAGCACTTCTCGTGTAACAATTCCCCACATTAATATTTATGTAGCATATGCAATCTATTTCTGTTATTTTTATGGTTGTTATTCTATGTCTGCAAAGGTCATTTAAATTATACTGCGGCCGAAAATTTGTTTCATAAATTTTGATATAAATACTAATTACACACTATAGTAATGCCAGCAGGGATCCTTTCATTTATCACATTTATATCACCTTCGCTGCTTTAGTGATGACATAATGGAAAGCAGTGAAAAACTGGGACAGTTTTATTCTAATATCCTAAAGCTAGTTGGAGTTGCAGCAGGTTGACTTAGCGAATAAGAATTCCTACCACAATTCTTGGGATTTAAGAATCTTTAATAAGGTACGAAATGTTACCAAACAGTTCTGTAAACTAAATTTTACATACCAATTCTTCTAGCCATAAATATTGAATATCTTGTAACAGGTATAACCGGACCTTTACATGCGGATAAATATGGAAATTAGGATTTATATACATTATGTTCTTGTATTTGCCAAAAGCAACGGACAGATATAGTTTATATCTTTTTTTTTTTTAATATCACTTTACATAAACAAATGTAACAGTTTGACACGCAGATCCAGGCTTTCACTATACGAATTTCTTGACAGGACGTGTAACAACATTTTACTGCACTACTTAGACTGGACTTTGGGACGAAATGTTGCACTTTATACAAAAAAGCACATTAATACCAATAATATTCTGTTAGATCGACGTTTAGACTGTAATAATACAAAGTAATTCACATTTTGGTACACATTTACTAGAACATTCTTGCCATTCAGTACAAATAGTTGAATTTCTACCTCTTCCCTCTGCCCCCCCACCACCTCCGCCCCCCGCCACCAGCTCCCGCCCGCCCGCCCCTCCCCCCACATATATGCAAAGACCACAAATCCACATATCCCCTTATTCAACTTGCGATATAACTATTTACAAAATCAATCAGTACATTTTTTTGTTGTTTTGTTTTTGAAGCTAATAATTCTGTATTTACAAGAGGGGATGGGGGGGAAGGCCGCTGCCCGAGCAGACATGCATTTGGCGATCTCTAATCAGTGGTTTCCAGTAAAGCCCTACACAGTTGGCATTTGCCCTGGTAACCTTGTCTTCTTATGCATTCTACTAACCCCTTCGCCTACCAAGCCTTGGAACAGAGCAGAACAGTCAGGAAAAAAAAAAAAAAAAAAAAAAAAGAGAGAGAGAGAGAAAAAGAGAAATAATAAGGGAAGAAAAAAAAGAATAAAAAAGATTTAAAAAAATGAAGTCTTCATTTTACTCAGTCCTGGGTCTACTGGCAGCATTTTACTTTTGTTTGCTCATTTAAATTTTGATTTCAAAGTGTTCATTATTTTTGGAGTTTTTAAATAGGGTATTTGTTTGCTCGCTTGGGGCTTTTTGTTTTGTTTCGGTTTGTGTTTTGTTGTTGTTGTTGTTTTGTTTTAGCGTTTTAGACGTACCATTCGTTAAAATTTGATGTAAGCGTGCTGTGGCTGGACGTGTGATGGACTGCGGAGGAGGAAGGGGATAAGGAGCTGGCGGTCTGGTTTTCTGTGGATGGAGACACGATGGTTGGTGGGGTGGAGGACTCGTAGCCTGAGCTGGCGGCGGGAGAAGGCTGGGACCCCTGCGAGGATGATTCATGGACCTGCAAAAGAAAACCCGGGCAGAGATAGAGAGCAGCGGTGGACGGAGGCCTTCGCCTGGGGATGCGCCAGACAACGGGACCCAGCGCCGAGTCCCAGGCTCGGGCACTCCTGCGGGGCTCGCCGGCGGCCCCGGCCCCAGCCCTTGCGGCGGGGGAAGGCCGGACTGCCCCCCCGGCTGCCTCTTGGTGCTGCCCCCCGCCCTCCCCGGGCAACCGCACGGCCCGAGGGCCCCGCGGAGGGGCCGGTGCTCAGCGCAGCGGCGGGGGCGGCGCGGCCCGGGGCCCGGGGCCGGGGCCCCGCAGTCGGGTGGCCCGGGCCGCGCTCCGCCCCGCGGCCGCGCCGCGCCGCCGGCCGTCCCCGCAGCCTTCGCCCGGCCGGGCCCGCACGCCAGCCGCCCTCCATTTACCTTCATGTGCTTTCGGAGGGAGCTGGGGTGCGTGTAGGACTTGTCGCACATTTTGCAGAGATAGGGCTTGTCGGAAGTGTGCACATGCATGTGCTTTTTGCGGTCGCTGCTGTTTGCAAAGCGCCTGTCACAGCCCTCGAACTCACACTTAAATGGTTTTTCACCTATTGCAGAGGGAAGGGGGGGAGGGGGGAGGGAAAGGGATCTGATTAAGCAGGGCCGGCTGGATCGTTCATTGTCCCCACCGCACCGCCGGACGGAGCCCAGGGCTCCATTTCAAACACTTGCAACTTTCTAACTTCAACGAGACTCAAATCCCAAAATCTTACTTCTCTCTCTGCCCTTTCTGCTCCTCCGACTCCTGCTCAGCGCCCTTTTCGGAGAGCGGGATAGCTAAATAACTTTTTTCCCCCTTCCATTTGGAGGGGCGAGTTTCCTTTACAACCCCAGTCCCAGGCACCTCTCTCTCATCACAACGCTCCGAGCGCGAGAGCAGGCGTATATACACACCATCCTCAGTGTCTACTTTCCGGTTTTATAGCTCATTCTCGCAATATTTTACTCTTCCACCCGTCCCAGTCCCTTCCCCCTATTTTCTTGCAATATTGAAAATTATCCGGTCCAGGAATACAACGAGTGAGCAGCCCCACAAATCCTCGGCAAAAGGGCTGGAGAAAGCGGCTCTGGCTTTCGGAGCTCGGGGGTGGGAGCGGGGGGAGATTGCTCTCCCGGACAGAGGTTGCTGCATTCCCACCTCCCACGAAGGAAAAAGTTCTCAGGGATACCGGCGCCTCCCCTCCGCACAACAATAACACACTAACGCGCCGGGCTCGGTTTATTTAAAATCGCTCCTCCGAATTAAATATTTACCAAGCCCTGAATTGCAAAGAGGAGACTGATGAGCTGCCTGCAATATTTAGCACAATTTCTCATCGTGCCACAGCCAAAATTGCCGAACGATAATTAATTAAAACCTATAAATTTAAACAGGACAGGTTACTATGATCCCACACCCCACCCCCTCCGCCCTAACAATTCCAGCAGCAAACCCTGCCGTCCTCCCTCTCTGCCTCGGCGGGGATCATTTTCTTTTTGTTGCTGCTGCTGGCGTGGCTGTGACCGAGCTCCTTGTACAGCGAAGCTCCTAGCCGGCCTCTACCGGAAAAAGCAGTGGCCCTGCACCATACCCCCTCCTGCCCGTCCGATTCTCAGCCAAGCCGGGCCCCCCGACCCATCTGGCACGGCCCCGCGTCCCGCTCTGGCCCCGGCGCTCGGCGCTTCCACTCGCAGAGAGAAAAGCGACAGAGAAGGTTACCGTACCTGTATGAGTTCTTTTGTGTATTTTGAGATTCTCTGATCTGGCAAACACTTTGCCACAGCCTGGGAAAGGGCAGGGGAAAGGTTTTTCACCTGTGTGGACTCTGATGTGATTTACAAGTTTATATTTGGCCTTGAAAGGTTTCCCTTCTCTTGGACACTCTTCCCAGAAACATATGTGATTGGACTGCTCGGGTCCTCCAACGTGCTCCACCGTGACATGAGTCACCAGCTCGTGCATCGTGCTGAAAGTTTTGTTGCAGGACTTTTTGGGGTTTGACAATTGTTCGGGCTCAATCCACTTACAGATGAGTTCCTGTTTGATGGGCTGCCTCATGTAACGAAAGAAGGCCCCTGCCCCGTGGTGGGCTGCCATGTTCATGTTCATGTGGCCGTAGCCGTGCAGCTGGGTCGAGGCATAGTGCTCGGAGCGGGGGCTGGTGACCTGGCCGTACTGGTCGGGTCTGCCGTACATGTCTCCGGAGAAGCCCAGGCGCATCTGCCCGTTCACCACGTTAGGTGAAGCGTGGCTGGTGGCTTGTTCGTGCAGCCCCGGGAAAAGTATATGTCCCGCGGCATCGGTGTGTCCGTGGGGTCCGGCGAAACTGCCGGCAGCGGAGGCGAACAGGCTGTGCTGGGCGCTGGCGGCCGCCGCCTCCCCGAAGCCGCGGTTGCGGAACAGAAAGTCCCGGGTGGAGTTGAAGGCGGCGCTGGAATAGGAGCTGACATGGGTCGGGTGGTGGTGGTGCCCCAGGGCCGCCGCCGCGTAGCCGGGTGCCTGCGAGGTGAAGGCGGTCTGGCCGGCCGAGGCCAGCTCGTGGGTGCTGGGGTTGATTTTGAAGGCGCCCATGCCGTCGGCGAAGGGGTTGATCCCCAGCCCCACTTCTCTGTCCGTGACATCGGCCGTGGAGTGGTGGCGAGAGGATCCGAAGGTAGTGACTCCTATGGCGGGATACTGCGGTCCAGCATCCAGAAGCATCTTCCCAGCGTCGATGCAGCAACCAAAAAAAAAGCACGCGCGCACACACACAACGCGGAGAGAAGCAGCAGCAGCAGCAGCGGCGGCGAAAACACCCTCTTTGGAAAGTCAGCGACGATCACCACCAAAGCAACCACATCAAAAACACCCCCTTCGGCATCAGCGCAGGGGGAAGGAAAAAAAGGGGGGGAGAAGGGAAAAAAAAAAAAAAAAAAGGCTGGTGCGGAAGGGGGGAAGAAATCTTCGCAGTTGCAAATAAAAATAATAAAAATGTGCCCCAAAAATATTCACCGTCTCTCTGCTTTGACTTTTCGGGGAGGTTTAAGTGGGGAAGGGGGGGTTGGGTAAGCTCAAAAATAAACTGGCTGCAAATAACAATAACGGCGAGAGTTCAACACGGGCAGCAAAAAAAAAAAAAATTGAAAAAAAAACCAAAACAAAAAAGAAACTTCCTTCAGTGATTTTTTTGGCTATAGGAATGTTGCAAAGTGGCCGAGAGATTGTTTCTCTCTCCTCTTCGAGCTTCCCCACACTCACCCGATTTTTTTTTTTCGGGGGGCCTTTTTTTTTTTTTTTTCTCCCTCTGCAAAAAAAAAGGCGCAAATCATGCACAATATTGTCTTTTGCGGTTTATCTTCCTGGGGAGAAACTTTCACCTCCTCAGCCGGGCGGTGAACGCGAGACTGATAGCGGCAATCATTCCTGCAGATAAATGAATTGAAAAGACGACACCGTCCCCCCCCTTGATGAATGGGAGCCGGGGGCGGAGCGACGTGCGGGCGGACGTGGGCAACCATTGGCCCGGGCTGGCTCCCCCTTCCCCGCGTAGCAGCCCCCGGCCCCGCCGGCTCCCGGCGCTGATTGGCCGCGCCGGCTCATCCATCGCAGGTATTGTGGCGCCCTGACACCGCTCTGACAAACGGGGCTGCGGCAGAAACAACTTTTTTTTTTCTTTTTTTTTTTTTTTTTTTTTTAATATATAAGATTTTTTTTTTTTTTGCTTTTTTGCCTTTTTTTTTCTTGCCTTTTTCTTTTTTGTCCCCCCGCCCCCCGAAAATATTTCCAGCGCATCTTTTTGTGTGTATGTATGCTAAGGGGACAAAAAAAATTTTTTTCTATTAATATTATTAGGGTTATTTTCTCCCCCTCTCTCCCTCTCTCTGTCTCCCCTCTCTCTCTCTCTCTCCAGCACTCTGATAATGAAGGTAATGATGATTTCTTGGTGATCCAGAATTTTTGAGATCACTGAGCAACTTTTTAGGCTTTGGAAAGAGAAGCCCTGTAGGGACTCGTGTCTTTTGAAGGTGTTTTCCTCTTGTTTAAAACTGAAGCTCTCCGATAGTAGGTGCTGGGTGCACTTTATTTTATTTTTAAACACCAGGCGTGATTTCTCTGTGTAGCTGACTCTATCCCTCCATCAGGTTTCTGAAATAAATCTTGTTTTCTGCACCCATCAAAACGCAGGTGGGTGAGAACTCTTAACTTTCTAATTTTGTCGTGGTCGTTTTGCCTCCTTTTCTTGTTATTTTCTTTCTCTTTTCTCTTTCACCCTCATTTTCTCTCACTCTCTCTTTTATGGAGTCTCTTTTATTCAGGTGAAACTGTAAATTTCACAAACCTACATTATTTCTCCTTCTGCTGCATGAAACTGCCGGATACTTCTCTCTTTATTTTTTTTCTTTAAAAAAATTTAAAGTCTTCGATAGGAGCAATGTAAATTCTCTGACATTCAAACCTTTTCTAGTTCACAAATCAGTCACCCTTGTCACAGTTATTGAAATTCCTCAACTTGCCACACCAGGACGGTGGAAAAAGCAGGCGGTGTCTTTGTTGCTGACCAGGCTTTTGATCGCCAGAGAAAATTTACTTACCTTCAGATGAGTGAGCAGAAAAAGAAATAACACTCCCTTTGATTTAGTTAGAAAAATGCAGACATTTGGATTCAGTGCAAACATACAACACTTGGTTGTTTTCTAGATGCAACCCTCGATTAACCTGTCTTTCCCCAGCTCAAAGTCTATTGAAAAACTGTGGATAGTTCTTTTTTGTTCCCGCTACAAAGAGCCATTGACTATATATTAAAATGATTGTTGAAAGGTATAAGTATGGTATTTAAAAGCAGAAAGCCTTTGTGGCTTAATCAATTAAGCTGAGCAACATTTGTACAATATTTTAAAAGATGCTTCGGCACTAAAAAAAAAAAATTCTCATGAAACTTAAAAATATAGACATCTTTGTGTGAGTATGCATAGATACACTTATGTATGTGCTCATGCGCGTACATATATAAAACTGGCAAATTATTTATTTACTCAGTCGCCTGCATATTCATTAGCTCTAATTATTTTCTAGTAACGAAAACACCAAAAGCTCGCTAAGAGTCAGACTCCTTACATTTCGCCTTTGTTCAGCCCTTCACTTGCCTCCTTCGCAGCTCAATCCGAGCCCCTCCAATTCCTAGTGCCAAACAAAGAAACTTTAAACTCATCCTCTCCAATTAAAGCCGCTGGTAAGCAATCCGCAGCGCAGGTACTGGGGAGTCGGACCAGCAGTGCAGCTGCGCGAACCCTTTTCGGATGAGAATTGCCTCGTTTCGAGAGGTATAAAATGGCCATATTGCCTAGAAAACAACAAAAAAAAAAACCAAACAAAAAACAACGACAATAAATAAACTTTGATACGCCTTGAAGGAATGTTTCGCTGCAGTTTATCTGCAGATGCAGTGTGTCTGTGCTCGGTGCATGGAGATAGCTTTCAAAGCAGATATATTATGTAATTTTCATTGGATCTTGGGATGCTTTACAAGGTTTGGTGGGGGAGCATTTAGAATAATGCCGAGCTGAATCTACACGTTTGCATTTATTCTACCAAATCTATTTGATGGAATTGCAATGGCTTATAGCAACAGGTATACCCGCTCTAGAAGCGCCTGGGTGTGCACATGGTCTTAAGGCGGGTGTTGCACTGCTTTCTGTATTTGATGCTAAAATTAAGTGAAGGACAGAGTTGTCAGTGTTGTTGTGAACTCTTCTGGGCGATGGCATTAGGAGAGCTAGAAAGTTAGGTAGTTCAGTGCTAGCCTGCCTCCCAGTGCAGGAGGAAACCAGTGATCATTCCAGGTCGGTACAAAATACACGAGAAGGCAGACGAGAAGGTATTTTTAGGAAGCGTATCTAAATATACAATGTAAGAGTGAATATAAAAAAAAAATGTTGTGGGTTGTAGAAGTTATCAAGTGGGATTTGCGGTGCGCTCTCTGCAGGAAACGAAAGCTGCTCCAGTTCAAAGCCACATGCACCAACGTGACATATAAGCCATTAAAATATCATCCTGACGGCTCATTTCTGCATCATCATACATTCCCTAACTGCTTCCAGAAAGCAAGAAAAGAAGAAATGAAGGATGACCGCCTCGATGGAAGCGCCAAAGAGGTGGTGGGTTCTTAGTGGGGGGGAGTATTGTTTTCTTCTTTCATTCTTTCTTTCTTTTCCCTTCCCCTCCACCCCCACTTTTATTTTTGCCAGTTCAGAAATGAGGGGAAACCTTCAACAGGTCGCAGGGGTAAGTGCCTGGGAGTAGGGGGTGCCTGGGCAGTGCGGGCAGCTGGC